ATGGTAATGTATTGATATATCTACTTTTTGTCTGTCTCTTAAAGACTGGCTATACATATGCTACACATGAATGCTGACATTGCTAGAAAAGGCAAACTATATTGATACGACAAACAAATAATCTCTCATACACTTACAGCACTGGCAAAATCAACAACACACAGGAACATAGAAAAACCGACACAAACACATACTGAAACATACACACACTCACTCTGAAAGACATACACACACTGAAACACACAGAAAAGGAGAGCAAATGGGGGACAAGAAAGGAGAGAGAAGAGAGAATGAGAGGGGAAGACAGAGAGCGAGTGAGAGAGGGAGACAGAAAGCGAAAGAGAGAGAGAGAGGGAGACAGAAAGCGAAGAAGAAGAGAGAGAGAGAGACAGAAAGCGAAAGAGAGAAAGGGAGACAGAGAGCTAGAGAGAGAGGGAGACAGAGAGCGAGAGAGAGAGAATGCAAAACATAAACAAGTACATATATTTCTACACAAGACAGGGATACAATCATAAAAATCTGCTTCCTGTGTTTAAAATGTTTTTAACATTCTTTATGGTTACACACTCATCTTACAATAACAACACATTATAAAAAGAGACAAACAAGGAAACATATAAAATGTATACAAAAGGAAAATAAAGTCACATACACACAAGCACACTCATACACAAGTGGAGTAGGAATGAGAGAGAAAGAGAGGAATAAGAAACCTAGCAAATGAGAAAGAGAAGAAAACAATGAGAGAGAAAGCAAAGACAAGTGAAAAAATATATAAAAAGACACTCACAAACAGACAGACAAATAAACGTATTTATAGACTACCTGCTTCCCTAAATATAACTACTTTCATCCAAAGCTATATATACACCTATAAAATTTTCTCTTCATTTCCTGCCTAACTATTTTCGTTCCACAAACATCAACAGGACAAAGACCTTGAGCAACACCTTAAATGAATGGTAAGCAATATAACTCTAAAACCTCGTCCAAATGCATCCCCCGGACACCCAAAATCTTGAGATACTTAGCACGAAGTTTTGACATTTGGACAGTTACGTTAGATCTGGAGCCATCATGCTAGGCTTGGCTAATGGCTTGAGGTTAATTGCACTCGGGATATCCCCTCTCTAAGTCAAAACATATACAATCCCTACGCTATATAAAGATTTGACCGACATATCCAAGTGAACACATACAATCCCTACGAACGACTGCCATCTTTTTCCAAATCTAACAAACTTTCATTCCATACCTCCAGTAAGGGTCGAGTTTCACTAACCTTAAGCAAAACCCTATAAACAGCTAGGCTTTTATGTCCTGTTTCACATCCCTCTCAAAATCGTGTCAAAAAGTACATCACAAGTATTTCATGTATATCACTCAAGCTTGTATCACACCGTGCAAGCATACACACACACACACCTACAAACAAGTCAGTGATTCATCAGACCACGCTATCTCGCAGTTTATAATACACGATAGGAACACAAGGTCTTTTTAAAGTTTGGTGTCTGTATTTCATGTAGGCCTATACTGGGGGAGGGGAGAGGGAGGGGGGCAGATGGGATAGAGGAGAGGCAGCAAGAGAAAGGGAAGAAGATGGAGAAGGAGAAAGGGAGAGAAAGAGGGAGAGAGAGATGGAGAGAAAAGAAAGAGGACAGAGAAAAGAGAGAAGAGAAGAGAGAAAGAGAAAGAGAAAGAGAAGAGAAGAGAGAGAGAGAGAGAGAGAGAGAGAGAGAGAGAGAGAGAGAGAGAGAGAGAGAGAGAGAGAGAGAGAGAGAGAGAGAGAGAGAGAGAGGAGAGGAGAGAGAGAGAGAGAGAGAGAGAGAGAGAGAGAGAGAGAGAGAGAGAGAGAGAGAGAGAGAGAGAGAGAGAGAGAGAGAGAGAGAGAGAGAGAGAGAGAGAGAGGAGAGAGAGAGAGAGAGAGAGAGAGAGAGAGAGAGAGAGAGAGAGAGAGAGAGAGAGAGAGAGAGAGAGAGAGAGAGAGAGAGAGAGAGAGAGAGAGAGAGAGAGAGAGAGAGAGAGAGAGAGAGAGAGAGAAGAGAGAGAGAGAGAGAGAGAGAGAGAGAGAGAGAGAGAGAGAGAGAGAGAGAGAGAGAGAGAGAGAGAGAGAGAGAGAGAGAGAGAGAAGAGAGAGAGAGAGAGAGAGAGAGAGAGAGAGAGAGAGAGAGAGAGAGAGAGAGAGAGAGAGGGAGAGGGGAGAGGGAGAGGGAGAGGGAGAGAGAGAGAGGGAGAGAGAGAGAGAGAGGAGAGAGAGAGAGAGAGAGAGAGAGGGAGAGGGAGAGGGAGAGAGAGGGAGAGAGAGAGAGGGAGAGAGAGGGGAGAGGGAGAGAGAGGGAGAGGAGAGGGAGAGAGAGGGAGAGGGAGAGAGAGAGAGGGAGAGGAGAGAGGGAGAGGAGAGAGGAGAGAGAGAGAGAGAGAGAGAGAGAGAGAGAGAGAGAGAGAGAGAGAGAGAGAGAGAGAGAGAGAGAGAGAGAGAGAGAGAGAGAGAGAGAGAGAGAGAGAGAGAGAGAGAGAGAGAGAGAGAGAGAGAGAGAGAGAGAGAGAGAGAGAGAGAGAGAGCCCAGAAAGGAGGGAAAAAACCCCAGGCACAAAGACGGGGACGGCGAGGCCCGACCGCCACGCCAGCGTCCTCCTCCTCCTCCTCCTCCTCCTCCTGGCCGCCCCGATCCTGCCGCAGGACCGCCTCCGCCCCGGCCCTGGCGTGGCGTGCGTCCTCACCTGTCAAGCTCCGACAAAACTTGAAGTTCCTGCGGCGTCAAGTTGATCTCCTCGGAAGCAGAGTCCGTCGCCTCCATCTTCCAGGGCACTCCGCTCGCTATCACTTTTCCGAACACTTTGAGACACTTCACCGGCACATGGGCTTCGCAATCACTCACAGCGGGGACTCGAGAGACCCCGAAAAGCACTCATATTCACAGGGGGAAAGAGAGAGAGGGAGAGAGGGCCGCGGCGTGCACACTCGGCAGGGACACCTTCGCGAGTGCTGGCGGGGCGCTGAAGGGCGGCCGCCTCGCCTCCCGACTGCCGGCGGGGGACCTATTTTACGAGCTTTATTTCAGGAAAAGGGGGTTGATTTGCTGTGTTTGAGTTGGGGTTTGGGTGGGTTAGGGGATCTGATCTATCGGTTGGGATAGTTGATTTGGCTTGAAATTGGAGCGGTGAGCGAGAATGAGAAAATAAGGAGGTTGATGGCAACACCGCGTTCTCCCGACGTGAGAGATTTCGTGCCATATATTTTGCTGGATGTCCGCGTGTCTGGCTTTTCGCTCGGGTTCTGGCTTTATTTCTGTTTGATTCGCTTTCAAAAAATATTATTCCGTGTTATATTGTAGTCTTTTGAGGGAGAGAATGCGTGAATAATCTCATCTCCCGAAATTCCCTTCGCATTAATTTTGACCTTCCCAGGAGTTCATGGCTTTAACTCGTTCTAATATTTCAAAGTCTTTTAACAAGCTCCCCAAACATATGCTTTTATAAAGTATAAGATCAAGAAAAATAATCGGTAAATTAAAGCCACGACGATTTTTAAAAACAACTTCATATTTACTATCAAATCTTTAAACTATGAAAGCACCTATAGTAACAATAGTTATTATTGGAACTCTATTGTCAGTCTGTGTGTAGACTTCATCGAGTAAACATATCAGAGGGCGACCTGTGAAGCCACGACAGACGACCTCCGGTAAGTTGTCATTCATCCTCAGAACTTAGACGCCCTCCCTTCCTTCTCGTAAATCTAAACCGATATTCAACATCTCGAAATACGAGCGTGTCAAAGCAGAAGAGAGATTGTCCTTTTATTTCCGTCATTTCCTTAAGACGTAAAAGTACCGTCACAAAGTAGCTTACATAAATACACAATAAAAGTATATTTTGTATACATGGTTGTTTTAAATCCATTCGGAATATTCCTCTATGGTTTCAAATGGATTTTGGTCGCGATTCAGGTAATATTTATGGAGTTTTACCCTTTTTTGGGAATTGCACGTGACTGAAGGGGTGGGGTTACGGAGTCCCTATTTTTGCCGTATTTTCACCTTTATTTTCTCTTCTAAATCAGTTGAAAAAAGGTAATGGTATGGTGATAATTATAATAAGGTATTTAATTTACTTGGAGAAAGTGTGTTTTAATTTTTTTATTCCACAGGGAAGGAGAAATGACAGATTTAAGGATATTGCTTTAGGTCTATATTTCTCTTGTCATTTTCTGTATTTATTTTTGTTCTTGGACTTAGAACAAATGTCATGTTAATTTATTATAATTCCAGAAAGCTCCATTTCAGTTTTTTTCCTTTTTTTTGAAGTTTTAAGGAGTTCACCGAGACTGAGTAGCAGATAATTGTCAATAAATGTTTGTCATCTTAATACTTTAGAGTAGAAATTGGTTGAAGATTGTGATGTGAAGGAAAATAAAGTATTATTTTTGCTTATATGTATATGTATAAGCTAAACTGGAGAAGATGGAACAATAAGCAAGTTGTATCCATTTGTATAATTTCTAAATTGGATAATGGTTCAGATCATGAGATAATTCCGTCTCCTCCACACTTCCAGTTCGTCCAAAGGCCGACATTCCTTTCATTTTGTATATGTGACACAATGGAGTTGAGTTTTGTTCCTTGTTCAACTCGAAATTGGTAAACAGGTTGTTTGCTTTTGCTGAAGCACCAAGGCACAGATCTGTGGACATTGACGTGTTCAATGGCTCGGTGGGCTCAGGCACCAGAGTACTCGTCTCGTGTTGGTGAGTTCAAGCCTCTTTGGCGTTCAGGAGATAGAAACTTGTTTTCGATGGAGGTCCACCACCACGTGGCTGGCGGCAGAGTCCTGATCTGCTCTGAATGGCTGCTGTTCAATACAGCTGAACTCTGATAGGCTGACGGGCATGAGATGTTGGAACTCTGTAAAAGGTGTCCGAAGTGTCTTTGAATGCAAGCAAAAGATTCAACTATTTCAAGCACACTGGAGAGATAATGACCTACAGAACCATATTTATTGTTCATTTATGAGGGATTGTAAACTTCCCATTAACTTCTTCAGAATATATTTATGATAACCCCCTCATTAGTGGCAGTTTATGGGTTGAAAATTACTTTTGTTTATTTATTTAAAGGGTATTTTAGCTTTATTTATTGAGTCATGGAGTTATTTTATTCATTTAGACCGTTTGCTTTGACCAGAAATTGAGATGTTAGAATTTTGTCATTTATACGTAGATTCTTCAACAAACCGGTCAGTTTGCTTCTTTTATAAAGATTTGAGTCCTGGATTTGTATTGATGGGACGGGGGGGATTTTAAAGCGAAAGATTTAAAAAGTTAGTTCTAGAAATGTTGATAGTCTTCTATGTATAGATAATGATACTAATGATTGTATATATTTTTACTAATAGTGGTTACTGCTTGTTGTACCTCTGTGACTGGGTGTGGCCTCCATGCCTCTCGGTGCTCCAGTAAAGGCTAACCTCCATGTATATATTGACAAGGTAGACTTTGTTGATCTCCCTGAGGTCTTGCCAGCTTAAATATCCAAGCTCTATGTCGCCCAAATGTGTGTGGTGGAAGTTTGCGAGCCTTAGCAGGAGTGGAGATGATCATTTGTTAATGTGTTACTGTCAGCTTTGCCAGAAAATTTCCAACGTGTCCATTTCAGGTCAGAACAAGTTTTAAGTGAATTTACTTTTTCTGTTTTTTTTTCACATCATATATATTATATATATATATATATATATATATATATATATATATATATATATATATATATATATATATATGTTGTGGGTGGGTGGGTGGGTGGGTGGGTAGGGTTGTGTCTGTGTATATATTCTGGTTTTATTCACCCTATATATAGTTATCTGGATAAAAGATTTTTTCTCATGAGAGGAAAAAAGAAAAGTAAAGAAACCAGTATAATAAGTCCAATGGGTGGAGGGAAATGAGAAGTAGGGGGTTATCATTATCATGTCATTCCCGTTGGTGTTATTCACTAATTTGAGTCTGAAAATGAAGGTTATGCATAAGAAAAATCTTTGAATACTGTACATGCCATCACGATCAGATAGAAAAATACTTGTATGTGTGATTACAAGAACCAACACTGGTAGGACATGTACCTGTGTTCCTTGTCCTTAGGTATCTAGTCCGTAACCTAAAGTAAATTACATTAATCTAACACCAGCCTTGGGACAACAGGGAAGAAGGAACACTGAGTGGACCTTCTCTTGTTGTAGGCCTATAACTCTGTACAGAGATAGCCTAGGAGAAAAAGTGAAAGTGGTGGAAGGAATTTGTATCTTGTCAACCGTGATTCCGCGAGAGTGGATGTACTTAAGGTTGTATGTAAGTGTTAATTAGGCTCGTGTCTGTATTTATCACCTGTGAAGGAAGTGATAAGATAACTTTTTAAGATAAATTGAAGATGTTTGGGCATAGTCTCTCCTGCACAGTACTTTATCTACACTGAAGTCTGGTCTTGATGTACAGTATATTAGCTTTTATTGGTAATAATTGTCTATGTTAAGAATTTGGGATGATTCCAATTGATTCCCATAGTCCAGCTATTGTGAAAATCTTTAAGAGAATAATTCCCTATTTCTCTCACCTGGGCATTTTGGAAAAAGTTCAGGATTTTATGCTTAGTAGATCACCGTTTATAGGGTGAACAGGCTAGAGCTAAATGTTTAAAATAGATAAATAGATCCTCAGATGACTATGAAAAAAGGAGAGATATGATTTTGCAAACTGAATGAAAAGGAATAGGTAATATAATGAGAAGAGGAAATATTTTTTCTTTGTCTTTCTTTTATTTAATGTATTTCTTTGTTACAAATGAATTGACTTGGATAATGATGGAGACATATTGGTTTTTCCCATTTCTGTATCTTATATAAATGCAGCCATTTGAACTAATTGATATCTTCTTTGCTTCAGACACAGTAATCCCCCGCCTTAGTGTAAGTTGTGCTATGGGAGGAGCGACTCAGGCCAAGCCCCTAAACCCCGCAGAGGAAGAGTTTGAGGTCCTTGACGTAAGAGGCACAGCGCGCTCCAAGATGTCGTGGATCCAGCAATTTGTGCAGGACTTGACCAGGGAACCAGTGACCAAGCAAGTGGTTGTTGGTGGTGTGTCAGGATGGTTAGTGTGTTTGCGGGTAGATTAGCCCCTTGTTCTGTTGTGGTTTTAGGACTAAGTGAAGAAGTACAGATTTTCACCAAGAGCAGTAGATATTTAGTTGTTCTAGATATATAATTGGCATTGTGTGTGTGTGTGTGTGTGTGTGTGTGTGTGTGTGTGTGTGTGTGTGTGTGTGTGTGTGTGTGTGTGTGTGTGTGTGTGTGTGTGTGTGTGTGTGTGTGTGTGTGTGTGTGTGTGTGTGTGTGTGTGTGTGTGTGTGCGTGCGTGTGCATTTAAGTGTGTACGTATGAGGGAGAAGGAGAAGGAGAATATTTGTATTCCATGGTGAAGGATTAGTCAACATATGTTCCAATCTGAAGGCATGGTGGCCTTAAATGGCCACATATTTTTTGTTTTATATAACTCTAAATAAATACATGACTTATGCAATGAATTTGACAGATGGCAAGCTCAGTTCCTCTGTCAATGAGGTCTGACACTTCAAAGCAATGGGCTTGAACAAACCAAAACTATTTGAGAATATCATAATGCAGGTAGAGCAGCATAGCATGTCTTACCAAGACAGCGAATCACAAAGAATTCTAATCATTAACTCCCCTGAATCCATATGGGAAAAAAATAAATGTACACTTCAGTGAGTGCATGCTGGGAACAATGAGGGAACCTTTGGAATATACTCATGGCTAAAGAATCTCAGAAGTGCCAATTAAAATGACAAGGGGAAATTGTGGTTGTGGCTGTAAGGTAGCAAACTGTGCTTGCAGAACATAAGTGTATATTGTGTTAATTTTACATGTGGTACATGCTGACAAATAATTTTATGGCCAATGTCATAGCTATGCAGGTTACATCTTGAAGGTGCTTGACAAGATATGGTCCGTGAACAACCTACAAGAGGTCTATTGGCCAGCTCCCAAGAACCACGTGAGATTAATGACAGGAGAAATGTGAGAATTGGTCAAAATGGCCAGTTCAGTTACCCTCTTGTTATAATCGTGGCCAAGTGAAAGGAGAAAAATAGTTGCAAGGAACATAGCCACCCACTGGTGATTGTAATTGAAACAAGAATTGATCTTGCTGCAGCAACCAGACACAGAGCATGACAAGAATCTTCCACACATTAAGTAAATATATCAGCAAAAAGTGACTTGGACAGAGACATCTAGGAACAGGCAAAGGATGGTGGGGGAAAGAGACTTTTGACATAGCCACTGCCACAAACCACAGAAACATTGAAGATGTATAGTAGTGTGATTCATGCAAACAGGTAAGACAAGACACATGAATGTATGATCTCCAGACTGAACTCTTATCTGTAAGAGGTCATGCAGTACATCAGAAATAACGATGAGGACTTTAAATGTATTTTATATAAAAAGCTTGAATCCTGAACTGTGCCTGTAACACATTTATGCCATGGAACACCAAAACAGTTAATGTAATAAAGACGTGTATAACTAGAGGACTGTGTGGTCTAAGAAAGCACACAGGACAAGAGAAACAATCTCTGAAATTTTAGATACCAAGGAGAGAAGGGAAAACCTTCAATGTGGTTTATAGAGGAATGAATCTTAGAATGTGCTGCTCCTTGACATCGAGGTGCGGCAACATGACACTCCTCACACTGGAATCAAGGAGGCAGTCAAGGGAAGAGAATAGTATGATAGGAAGCTATATCAGAGTGAAACCTAAAATCAATGCCTAAAACAACCATGAAAAGAAAAAGACAAACCATATGTTGAAAATAACACACTGACCAGCTTATCAGCATCAGGAATATAAGATGGTATATTACTTGTCCCTCATGACACAGTAAGGGAGTAAAAGGGACCTTGCCCAAATGACATATCTTGATAATACCTAACACAAAGGGTCTCAAACGACACTTCTACAGACTCACAGATACTCCCTTGGAAGACCTGGAGAACCCTCTCCTACTGCATACTAACCGATAGCAAGGGCAAGAGACCAGCTGTCATTAACCCATTGGTGCTGGGTGTCACATACGTACATGCCATGGCTGTTGTGGACCAAACGCAAGGGGCATCATGCCATGCCCATTCCCACGCTACTGGCTTGTTGGACGGAGGTTGTTTTTCTCCACTAGTAGCGGCTTCATTTATATGGTAAAGATTTTAGGCAATGGCACCTAAAATGAAGGTAAACCTTCAAAATTTTAATATTTTTATAAATTTTAGAAAAATAAAAGCTTTTAGGTGCTATATGTCGCTCGCAAACTACCGATCGAGCCGGGCGCAAACAGGGGAAACTGCCAGTGCGCGCCAACAAGCCGGCGCATACGTAAACTTGACAAAATTTTTACCCGTTGCTGATGGGTTAAGGCAAGGGCAAGAGACCAGCTGTCATTTAGGCAAACGTACCCAAAGATCAGGAAGCTGGATGAGAAATTGGAAGTATGGAAAAGCACAAAAGCATAACTTGCCAGAGAGGAGGAAAAACGTATATGCCTGATAAATTCTGATGTACAGGAACTCTGAATTAAATAGTAATCACTGACTGATGACAGTGCTGGGTAAAAATGTATGTAGAGATCTAGTCAACTCATATTGGAGACACAAATGCCCTCAGATGAAGTTTGTGTGGAGTGACATGCACACTTCATTCATGGTCAAAATTTTCAGACTTGAGGCTAGAGTGAAGACAAGGAAGGGCAGAAAGTGTTAAGGACTATGGAGAGTAAATAAGTGGATAGCATTGTTTCCCACTGTCTTGTTAAGACATGCTATGCAGCATCACCTGCATAAGGATTTTATCAGGTTGAGGCTCATCATTTGGACATCCAGTTTTTTTTTTCCAAATCTCAAGGTCAGAGAAAATCTATTATGAATGTTTTGGTATATTCAAGGCAACATTGATGTTGAGTAGATAATTTAAAATACATAGTAAAAAGCAAGGATCTACCACGTCTATTTTTATTGCTTTCGATATTACTTATCAGTTGATAAATGCTGTAATTAGAATGATACTAATGGTGATGTCTAAATCATGTATATAAAAAGTACTGTATGACAATGATATGATTCATAAGATAATTATATTATTTATATAATGTTTTAAGAGAAATATAACTTTGTAATCATGCAAAGACCTAATACTGGAACCTGCACATACGGCTGCACCAGGAATGGAGACAATATCCAAGGTCTGGTGAAGTGAGGATGAGGAAAAGAAAAAGCCAATCACTCATTTTTTTCATCGCAGGGTCGTTGGTTACCTGTCCATGAAAGTAGGGAAGGTGGCTGCAACTGTCGTAGGAGGAAGCATGATCATTATGCAGCTGGCAGCTCACAAAGGATACATCAAAGTAGGTCCTTTTTCTCTGCTTTTCTTTGATTTAAAGAGAGATGTAGACACATTAATATGATTTGATGGTTGTGATACGTAGAACATTATTTTTTCTTTATCTCCTTTCTTCCTGTTTCTAATGTTCTTTTTCTTTCTGTTTTCTTTCTGTGAATATTTGTTTTGTCTTTTGCATTCAATTGTAATAAAGCCACAGTTATTTAACCCATTGGATCCAGATGCCTCGCATGTGGTCCCAAGATCCAAGCATTAGGTTTACTTTAGTGGCGACTCTCCTAGGTGTGCGGCTTATAATCCCAGCCCACTGGAACTCTTGTGTGCATTATCAAGACTCCATGCCTCCCCTTTGCAGTGTTATTATCTCTTTTTCTGTACAAGCATTTTTTGCAATTTTCAAATGTTTATATTTGTCAATTGATAGGTTGTATCAAGATGGTAATAGACTGGTTTTATTACATTGACTTCATATCATCTCTGTAGATAGTCCATAACTCTGCAATTTCAGTAACATTAAATAAATTTTGTTGTGTGTCTTTTTTTGTAATATTAAGTTTTCTGTAATACACCCTTTGCCAAATTTTTTGCATTGCACCCTTACCCCTAGTCATGACAGGAACAAGTAGAATCTAGGGCATGGGAAAATGTTCCACCCTGGAGCTAGTGCTCTTCCACTCATGCCATGGCTAGTAGATAGTACACTCCACACTCATTTACCAATGGAAATATTGTAAGAGCCCCATCCTAAATGCCCACTGAGTCTAATCACCCTCCAAGAGCTTTGTGTTCTCAGGGAGAATCATTCCTGTCACCCTGGCCTACAGCCAAAATTCTCATGACAGCGTGCGCCCCTCAGCCAAATTCTTTCATGACAGCGTACTCGCATCACCTGGCCCTCAGCCAAAATTTTTTCATGTGTTCTGGGATTAATCCAACGGGTTCATTCACGTCAAAATGGGATCTGCATTTATTCATATTGATTAACATGACATATGCTTTTGCTACAAGAACTGTACATTGCTGATATATATCGTGTTGTAATGATGAAGATTTAGAAGTAAAAGAATAATGATGTTTTTTTTTTTCATATTTCTGTTTGCATCATATGTCAGTTATGGTCTCATTGGAATGAGCTAATATTGTGTTAAACCAGACTTATTATTGCTATTCTTGTATTTATTGTTCCTGTCACTCTTCCTTTTCTTTGTTCTCTTTTTTTTATCATTACTAGTATTATTGTTATTATTGTTACCATTATTATCATTATTATTGTTATTGATATTGCTATTATTATTATTTTATTCCTCCTATTCCTCATAATCCTTTTGTCCATTCTCCTCTTATATTTCTTCCTCCTCTTCTTCATTTTCTTCATCTTTTCTCCACTCCTCCTCCACCTACTTTGTTTTATCCTTCTCCTCTCCTCCTCTCCTCCTCCACAATCCTCAAACCAGTCTCGGTATCCTTCACAGGTCGACTGGAACCGCCTCAACAAAGACCTCGAGAAGAACGCCAAGAAGCTGAAACGGGAAGTGGAATCCAACGTGAACGGCAGTGCGGCAGATCAGGTGAGAATGGACCTTCGGTTTATTTATGTGTTTTATTTTCATTCAGTATTGTTTCATTTTTACTTTATTCTTTATTATTTTATTTTTATTTGATTGTTTTTTTTTTTTTTTTTTTTTTTTTTTTTTTTTTTTTTTTTTTTTTTTGATTATATTATTTTGTGAAATTAGATTCTTTATTGTTTTGTTTTTATTAGATTCTATATTGTTTTGATTTATTTATAAGTTTATCATTCTGTTATTACATGTGTATAGATCTTGAAGTTATTCCTTTATTTTTATCATGTGATTATATTTGGAGTATTTTTTATGCAGTTTATTTATTTATTTATTTTTTATGGGTGTGTGATTTGTTGTTGTTTTTTTGCATGTATGATTTTTTGTCTTTGAAAGAATGCAGTTTGTTGGCTTGTGTGTATGTGTGTCTGTTTTGTGTCTTTGTTAATGTTTTTCATTTTCTTTTCACTTCTTTTCTTTTTAAGAGATAGGAAGTAGATCCCCCCTTCTTCTTCTTCCTCTTCCTCTTCTTCTTCTTCTTCTTCCTCTTCTTCTTCTTCTTCTATATCTTCCTCTTCCTTCTTCTTCTTCCTCTTCTTCTTCTTCTTCTTCTTCTTCTTCTTCTTCTTCTTCTATATCTTCCCCTTCCTTCTTCCTCTTCCTCTTCTTCTTCTTCTATATCTTCCTCTTCCTTCTTCTTCTTCCTTTCTTCTTCTTCTTCATCTTCTTCTTCTTCTTCATCTTCATCTTCTATATCTTCCTCTTCTTCTTCTTCTTCTTCTTCTTCCATCTTCTTCTTTTTCAAAGAGATAGGATTTCTTTTCTTTTTTAAGAAATAGGAAGTAGATCCCCCCTTCTTCTTCTTCCTCTTCTTCTTCTTCTGTATCTTCTTCTTCTTCTTCTATATCTTCTTCTTCTTCTTCTATATCTTCTTCTTCTTCTTCTTTCTTCTTCTTCTTCTTCTTCTTCTTCTTCTTCTTCAAAGAGATAGGAGGTAGATCCCACCCGACCCTCCCCCATCCACTATCATCTCTGAATCGTGTAGATTGAAATGTTAGTTTTAGGGACTGAAATGAGGTGTCATGCTACCACCGCTAGTATTATTAATGTTGGATTCTTCAGCTATTTATTTGAGTCATTAATTTCTTTCAAGGCTTCACTTTTTATATTGTTATATTTTTTTCTTAGTTCTATGCATATCATTTTACTGATTTTAGCTTTTTGATGATAGTTTTTCTTTTTTCCTGAATATTTTTTCTTCAGGGTACTACTTCTAAAATTATATCATTCCCCGGGTATTCCAAACACAAAAGCCACACAGTGTACCCATGAAATAAGAATATAAGTATTAATGTGTGAAAATGTGTATAGTTTCTAATGGTTTGGAAATGGGAAGCACCAGATAATTACAATTGATTACATGATGAGTATTGACAGAGTATATTTATTTTGTGGTGGGGAATTTTGGGCTCTTTTAACTGTAAATTTTTTGTTGTGTGTAGGTTGTGTCTGTTGCTATGATTATCTTTGCAGGCCTATGTGTACTTTTGTGTGTGGGTGTGGGTGGGTGTGGTGTGGTGTATGTGTGGGTTTATGGAGAGAGAAATAGTGGAGATAGAATGCAAATTGAATTATTTTGGCACAAAAAATCAGAGTAGTGAATCGAGAATGATTGTTGAGGATTCTTATTGGACCAATTAATGATGAACTCGCCCCCAAAGAATTTAGCTAAACTATTAAGAAAGGGTTTTTTTTCTTCCTTTTCTTTTCTTTTCTTTCCTTTCTTCATTTTTTCTTTTAACCATAGTGTCACATACTGCATATCAATGTGTTCCTCAAGGGTACTATTGATTATGTTGATTAATGCATGATTTGAAAACATAAAAAGAAAGCCTTTATTTATTATTATTATTTTTTAAAATTATTATTAATATTTTTTTAAGTATTAAAACCATTTTTATTTCAATAATTGTTCTTTCTTCTCAAAAGTCAAAATTTTCCTTAAAACATTTATATCTAACATTACCATTTAGTTCCATAAGTGATGAAGCTTAAACAAGGAATAAAATTGATTAATAGAGTTAATTTTTCCCAATAAAGATTTTCTCTTATTAGGAATTGTTCCCCTCGTAGCGCTATTGTTAGCATCAATTTCCATTCGTCTTCACTCGTAATGTGTTCTTGTTCAATGATTTTGGATTGAGAGCTTTACCAGTATTTCCATGTTGCTTATTTTATGATTTGTACGTGTGTGTGTATGGTTTAAGAATAGGATATTGTTAAGATTAAGGTTTCTTGAATTTTCGGAAATATATATACTCAATTAGAGTTTATAGAATACAAAATTGTTGACTTTTTTTTTTTCTTCTTTTTTTCGTTATTGGAATGAAAGTGAGAAAAATCTGAAATTCAGTTGTTATCAATATTTAGTGTCCTGTTGGTTAATTTGAAGCTGTTATATATTTATTTATTTGTCCAGTAAGATTGTTGTAGTTGTACTTCCTGCTAAGATTTGTCCTGTAATTTTAAGTTTTCAAAGTCTGTAGTAAAAGATTTTATTGACTTTGAAATTGTCAGATAATTTTTTAAGAATTAAAAAGAAAGATAATAGAGTGTATTTAAAGTGCATGGATGGCATTATTTTAATTATTGTTGTTCCAGTCTGATTACATTTTTTTATAGGTAACTTTTATTTTTTGTGTGTATTTCCGTGCAAGAGGGTTGAGTGTAAGAACTCCATCTTTTCAGGCGGTGCGTTTTGCCCGCGAGAACATAGTGTTGGCCTCAAGCTTTGGTGGAGGAGTCCTGTTGGGTATAGCCTCCTCCTAAATCAGTTGTAAGTCAAAAAGAGAAAGTCTTGTACCGCACTACCTCTTAAGTCAGTTGTAAGTCAAAAAGAGAAAGTCTCGTATCACATTACCTCTTAAGTCAGTTGTAAGTTACCGAAAAGCCCACAAAAATGGTTCCCTATGGCAGCTTACCTGAACTTTTGAGAGAAAGAGAGTGAGAGAGAGAGAGAAAGTGTAGACAGTTTTGATTTTGATTTTTCTTTTACTTTCTGTTATTTTTTAAAATGATTTTTTCGGCAAGGAAATGAGCCCCTTCTTCCCCCCTTTCTGTGTTTCCAAACTGTCTATATTTTCCTCTTCTAACAGATAAGGAGTAACAGTATCAAGGTAGGACGCTCTCACATGGGTCTCCTTCATTCCCCTTTTATTGCTTTCAAAATTCAAACAAACTAACTAATAATCTCTGTATAATATGATTACTAACTCTGATAGATTCTGATAGAGAGTGAAAAGGAATGCTTTATGATAATTTTCATGGAGTTCTTATATTCAGAGTAATGGTGTGGTTGTTTAAGTTTAGTTTTATTTTAGGCAATTCATTTTTTTCTTCTTCGTCTTTTAATTTTTAGTTCATTTATTTATCCTAATTTTCTGTAGTGTCTTGATATGAGTGTTGTTTTATTTTTTCGTGTTGTATGTTTGCACATGCATGCTCTCATGTCCTTCATAATGTTTTAAATGCATGCAAATGTCTGAAATTTGAATTGTACTTCAGAAAATTCTGAAGTAGGACCAGTATCTAACTTCTAAGAAAAGTGGTATTTCTCATATGCTTTCAAGTTCTGATGATCAAATGGAAAATAATATGAAGCTACTTAAATGCACGTGAGCTATGTTTCTAAAGTAGTGTGTGTCTTCGGTTGATATTTTCCAATTGCATAATGTTAAAATAATACAATCATTATTATACCCTTCTTGTTTTGGAGTAAATTGACAACATGGTTTGACCTATGATATCAGCACTATTACTTAATGACAGTACAATGGTATGCATATATATCAGTGTGAATCACTTGAATGAAATTTAATGTTTGGGTAACATCTCAAGGAAAAGTTTTTGTCAGACATGAAGAAATAGTTTGTTATCAGATGAACTACAGATCAGTAATTTAAGCTTTGACCTATTTTTTGAGTATTTAATTTGCACAGTTTGTTCTGTGCAGAAGATATGATTAGTATTTTCTTCCATTTTTAGAAAAAAAAATCTATTGCAGTATGACTCTTAACTGAATTATTTTAGCTTCATTTTTGATAATGGCATTAATGAGCAGACAGAAGTTACATGAACTGCATGTCATTGAATTTGATATGCTCTTCACAGACTTAAGTTAATAGAAACCATTTGGTGTTAGTTTTGTGCATATATTTTTTTTGTCATATTTAGTCCCTTCAAAATAGATAAGACCTAGTTATGTGCTGTAACAGTATGTGAGGATTTTTCAGCACTAACATCAGGAAAGCTCATAACATTTTTTCACTTTCCTTAATTAATCTTTCCTCTCCTCTCCAACCACAGAGCACAATGAAAGATGCAGCACGTCGCCTAGATAGAAAGCTTGAAAAGGCAGCCGAAAAGTTAGACCGCAAACTTGGGCAAGCAGAACAAAAGGCCGACTGGTGGTTTAGCAAGAAATTTGACTCGGCGAGAAAAATGTACCGGAAGCACGTGCTGGGGGACTCTAGCAACATTACCGTAGATGAACTTTATATGCTCAACATGTATATTATGGCATTTTCTGTAGGAACAATGCTTGGTGTGGGAACAGGGAAGGTGATATGAACTTATTAAACAGGAAAGCATTGGATCGTTATTTCTCACATGGCTGTGTGATGTAAAGGGCCTTTGCATTGCTATATTTACCGTGTGTAGCAAGGTCTAACAGTCCTTTTTTATTTCTTCCCGGTACTTTTTTTTTTTATCAAGGTTATAGATCAGTGTGAGACATGCAAGGCAGGTATATATATGTATATATTATTATATTTTTTTTCATACATTGTCTTGATGGAAGAAAAAAGTGTGATAGGGGACATGGTACGTATTCACTTCAGTATCATAACTTTTTTTTATTCAAGTTCCCTTTAAGTTGCTGAGATAGATTGATTTTGCAAGCTTTAAGGACCATCTTCCTCAAGAGGAAAAATAATCATATCTTCCAGAGCACCTTAGCATCTACCTTCCGTCACTTAGCATACAAATGTTCATGTATATCTATATATATTTACTGTATACTCAATACTGTATATCTGTGAAAGCATGGGTTATTAACAGAAAATGCTGATATGATCACAGATGATTTAATCAATTATAGGTCCTGGTGCAGTTCTTTAGTTTGCCAATGTAGGTTTTCCGTTGCATAAGAGACATAGCTGTAGTCATTCCTTTATCAATTTGATTTTACCTTCTAGCAATTCCAACTGAAGTTTTCAAGAGTGTGTCAGTAATCCAGTGATCTACTCTAAATGCATTCTAGTCGATTGTATTACATTTTATAATGAAGTAGTATTAACGAACGAGTATTTAATTTTCCATTGTTGAATTGTGTTTATTAACCCATTCCCAACCTTTGTGTTTATTTAAATTGTCATCCTGTGTGTGTGTCAGTTTTCAAATATTATGACCAAAATATCA